CTACTGCTACCACTACTACTACTGCTCCACCGCCACTACCGTCAATGATAAATGCCGTCAGAGTAGCCAGGGCTCCAAGACAGGGTCATCAGCACAAAATGACACTTCAACCCGTTCCTAAAAGCCTCAACTCTCTCAGCTTTCAGCTGCTTTCAGCTGCTTCTGGCCTTTTAAGAGCAGGTAGGGCCCTGGCTCTGGCCCGGGCCCCGGCATCCTCCGACACGAAGCGAAGGTTTCTGGAGTTTACGGCGTTTACGGGTTTTTTGGGGCCGTCGATTCCCAAAACGAGGGGTTAGGGTCACCGATGAGTCTTGCCATGAAAGCCCTACTTCGTGCATACTTCACATGCTTCTGTGGTTTTGGCATGCATTCGCGGCCATGGTCGTTACAGTAGCGATATAGCTGCAGTCTTGCGTGGTATTCATGAAAAGGCCCTGATGCAAGCACGAACACAGCTGTAGAGACAAAGGGGCCATCATTCTCCAGCTCCATTCCGGTCCATGCTCCATGTTCTTTCGACACCATGAGGCCGCTGTTTTCTGCTCCATTCCAGCGTCATTCGAGTGCAGAGTGGAGCTCTTCATGCAGCTTCTGAGCCATCTACAGAGAGTGCTCGTGATAGCCTGCGGAATGTCTACCTACCTACATATATTCATAAAGCCATGTCATGCATGAGATCATACCATATTGTAGAGCCAAGTCAGCCACGGACAGTGCCCAAACGGGTCCCAGTGCTTGGCTGTTGCCTTCGATCCGAAGAGCGGCGCTGATGGGAAACCGGGACCATTTGCATGCACTGCACAGTCTCTGTGATCAGGCGTAGCCAAAAATAGGAAAATGCAATGACAACTCTTCTTCAAGGCGGTAGATTATGCTCACCATGACAGGGCCATGAGACAAATCGTGTGCTTTTCTCATCAAGGAAAGTTTAAACAAGTTCTTGTTGCCGTAGGTCATAGGTACATGATGACAAGGATTTGAAGCAAAGTCTTATGGCTGCGAGGAGGTTGCACGACGCACCTCATCTGTGTTGTTTGGTTGCATTCGATCCCCCAGCTTTGCAAGCAAATCCTTTCCCGCTCCTCGTCACCCTCTCTCTCTCTCTCTCTCCAGCCGAAACCCGAAACCCTACACCACAACCCTAAGCACTGTAGGTCCTCTAGGCCTAGGCCTAGGCCCTCTCCTTTGTGCCGGAGGACTCCTGCCTCGCGGGCCTGCGGAGGCTCTGGCCTTGGCGTCGCCTGGAAGGGGAGATCCTCGGTTCTTGCTGAGGACTTTTAGATTTAGGGTGTAGGAGTTTAGGGTTTAGGGTTCAGGTTTTATTTTTGGGGTTTAGGAGTTCTTACCATAATTTAATAGGGATCTATGGTACATAATTTGGTTTCCTTGCAGAAACCCAGGATCCTGCCAGGCGATCCGCCGGACTTCTCACTTCCCACGTACTGGCTCGCACATCCGGGCCACTGGCCCAGGCCGACGAAGAAATAGTATGCCAGCTAATCAGCTATGTAACTATGTATCGCATCATAGCAGACTGGACCATTTTGCAGGATCGCAGAGAGAGAAGAGTACGGTGCCGCGCAGTACCTTAGCCTAGCATGAGTACAGTGGTCTAGTGTAGTCTAGTCTAGTCTAGTCTAGTCTAGTCTAGTCTAGTCTAGTCTAGTCTAGTCTAGTGAGTCGAGTCTAGTCTAGTCATTGTCACAGTCTAGTCCAGTCTAGTCTAATCAACTCAAGTCAAGTCATCTAGTCTAGGCTCTAGGCAGTCTAGAGTCTAGTCTAGTC